AGCCTTTATCCTGAAGTTAAATCTAGGGGCCCACCAATAGTGGAGAGGTATAGTTAACTCAGGTATGGTTGAATGGGGCTTCTCATGCTGAGACTAGGTGTAGGTGAGAATGGAAGGAAGGAACCCAGTTAGGAGACACAGCACAAATCTAGATGAGAGAACAAACAGTACCTGGCCCCATGTGGAAATAGTACAGGCGGTGAGACCACGTTCGTGTCTGGCTTGATTTGAAGGACACTTTGTTAGGATTTGGTGTTGCATGTGTAGAGAAAGAAAAAATCAGAATGAATCATAGGGTTTTTTTTTTTTTTCCAAACCAATTAGAAGAATGGAAGTGCCACTTACTAGATGATAATCACATTGAAAGAAGGGTTTGTTTTTTGGGGGGGTGTAGGGGAGGTAGGGGTTGGGTGTGGAAGGGAGCAGTATAAGGAGAGACTTGCAAGAGTTCAGTTTTGCACATGTCAAGCTGGAGATGGCCGTAAGACATTCAAGTGGATCCCGATGGACACCCGGAGATAGAAGTCCAGAAGACGGCAGCCTAGCACTCCAGGGCACTAAAAACACGTGTTGTTTTTTCTACAATTTGAAAGCTTTTCCAGGTCTGCTCTGAGAGCTTCACCATTCATCTAACTCTTTGCTTTCCAAGTGTGGCTCCTGATCAGCACAGTATTATCTGGGAGCTTATTAGAAATGCAGATTCTCAGACTTTCGTCAAATCTTCAGTCTAAGAAAACCCACACACATACCCCCTGCCCCGCCCCGACCCGCAAACTACATAAACATTAATGTTTGAGAGACACTCGTCCATTTGGAATGATCTGGCAAGCTGTTTAAAATGCTGACTACCAGATCATTCCAATTCAGAACAATTACAGGAGACACTCTGGGTGTGGGGCCAGGCATGGCATTTTTACCAAGCATCCCAGTGGTTCTGCTGTGCAGTCTGATTTAGAACCACTGATCTAATGCTTCACTCCTGGCATGTTCCCTCTGTACTTCTAGGTTTATATTGCCAGTTCTCAAGGAAATCATTTCTAAGAAGTGTGCACCTCTAGGAAAGGATAAAGGTGTGTAACTAGAGTAACCAACCAGAGTCTTGGCTTATTGGGGACAGTGCCAAAGTAATTATTATTAGTGTCATTTTTCACTCTCCTGAGATGATAAATTACATGTTCTCCCAATGTAACACAAAATTGTTCTGTATATTTTTGGATTATAAAGTCATAATGAGAAGAGTAGAACAGAATGACAGCCTTTGATTTGACAGATGAATCTAATAGAGACTCACAGAGTTTAACTATCAGTCCTTAAAGTATTCTAGGTACATCTTACCAGAAATACAAAAATTCCCTCAACTAGAAGAAAGGATGAAAGAACCTCATCCCAGGTTTGGGATTGGATGGGGTGTGATCATAATCTGTGATTAAAGTTTGAGAATCAGTTGTTGATTAGCCACAGACTGATTGTCAGGCTGTGATTATCCAGTCCTTAACAAAACTTCTCCTTCCTTTTCCTTTTGGATCTTTTATTGTTCATTAGTTGCTCTACCCTCAGACTCAAAGGCACAAGAAATGAAGGGGAATGAAGAGTTAATTTAGCAGCCCTGCTAGTAAATTTGGTGGGAAAGAAAATGGAAACAATTGGACTGTTTCTGGTTACCTGTGAATTTCAATCCTTTGGTTCATCCTTTTTTCCAAATTACTACCAGCTGGTTTGAGGGCTTTATGAAGGTCTACCCATTGCCAGTAAAATTAAAATAATCTTGTCTTTTAAAAACTATGTAATACTTTCAGAAATAGCTCTTGGAAGCTTTCCTTTCTGATTCATCAAGGCCACGGAGACAAGACAAGGCCAGCACCTTCTCATCTCATTAGGGTCTCCCCCATCTCCTTACTCCCCTCACCACTAATTCCTAGGCACATATGGATAGAATTTTTTAAAAATACTTTTTGATGTAGGTAAGAAATTATTTTACATCAACGTCAAACAAATAACATAACATGCAGGGACCCAAATGGAAACAAGTACAGATGTGCAAATACAGAAGGAACCAAATGGAAACTCTGTAAGTGGAAGTAGAGGCTGTATATCTACAGATTGTATCCCAAGTTCTCCTAGTCACATCACTAAGTCAGTTACGAATAATTCCACAAGTATGAGTGATTAAACGTGCTTGGTTCACAAGTGTTTAAAATGGCTGGAAGGACCTCCCCGGTAGCGCAGCAGTTGAGCACTGGGTTGCGAAGCTGCCCGCAGCCTCTGCAGCACTGGTTCGATCCCCAGCTGCTCCCCGGCCACCCGAGGAGGGTCCCGCATGGTGCGCAGACCTCTCCTGCCGCCCGCTGCTCCCCTCAGCAGTGTACTTCGGTCCTTCTGCCTGCTCTGCTCCCTGCTCTGGCTCTGGTGAATTCTCTCACCCTCCCGCGCTTCTGACTGTACCCAGTGCCCCTATAAATAAATAAATAAATCTTTAAAAAATAAAATAAAATAAAATGGTTGGAAAAGAAACTATCCATGTGCAAAGTGAAACTGCCAGATGATGGATGATAAACCAGTAGAAGGGAAATTTCTAGTCCATCCACCAGAATGTAAATGATATTAATTTACAGTAGGTAAAACATTTTTAAATATCTGTTAAATTCAGGTAAGATCATCCGTGGAATCTCAGCAGGTCAGAGGAATCCATAAACCAGTGTCTGAGTGCATGGGAGGTGGGGAGAGGATGGGTATTTGTTCTCTTTTTTTCTGGGTTGCCAATCATAAGAAGCTAAAATCATGGAAGATCTTCCCTCTGCAGCTGAGAAAGCAACACAAGCTGGTATTTTTCTGCAGAGTCTGGATCAATGATAACACTAGCACCTTGAGAAGAGTACCTTATCTTTGGCCTCTTTTAACAGTTACCCAAAGGTTTTTCCTTCTAGGGTTCTTGAAGGCTGAAGCAGGTGGAAAGCAATGTTTTAAGGAGGGCCCCAAGTGGTCAAACATATAAGCCCACATGAAGATCTGCTGAGAGAACTTTCTTCCCTTTTCTCAGGGATCTATAACTTTCAAAATCTTACTCTCAGTTATATCTTGACTTAAATGTATTATGCAATAGGAGTTTAAATTGGTGAGTCAATGATACATGGTATTTCAATAAGGAGTCCATTTGAATATAAAACTTTTGTAAGATCATGTGCTAAGGTCTAGGATAAACCCTTGTTTATGATTAGCAAGGGAGGTCATAATCAGTCATTAAAAGAGTATTAGTGAAGGAATTCCCTAACCATACAAAATAGCAAACACCTTAATCCAATAGGATGGAAAATGTACAGTAATGGTGACTTACTTATATTTTCTTTACGTGAAAACTAAAGTATACACTTGACGCACAACTCTCCAGCAGTGGGCCCATGGGAGCTTTCAGATTCAAGGAAGCCTCAAAAAAATAATGACTCTACTCTACTTTTGTGGACCATCTCTGAGAGAGACTCATACATGGATAGGACTACTTCATACATGTGTAATGGCCTGGATATCATGCACCAGTGCAGATAAAAATTACCAATCCCATTTGGTTAATAAAAATAAGAAAAGATCATAACCACTCATCCCATGCAAACAGAGAAGAGAATGTTGAAGAAAATAATAGCCTTGAGTCAGTGAGTCAGAGTTGGTGAGGCCAGGAATATTCATTCCTTGCCCTATACACAGCTCTGGACCTTCAGGCCTTTGCTTTCATCTTACTTCCCAGCATGGGACATAGAAGAGGTTTATATGGAAAGACAGGGCAATCCTCTAATTCCTGCATGACTTAGTATCATCCTGGGTGAAATGTATGCACTAACAAATGATGTTGGCAGAGCATGGCCCATCCCTACAAGGAGACCCTGTGGTCATTTGACAGGGAAGGGCCAAGCACTTTATGCTCAGTCCCTTCTACATCTAAGTGACTCTGAGAATGACTCTTGGCTTCCTCTAGCCTTTACTCCCTCATCTGGGATGATTTTACTCTGAACTGACCTTTCGGTTACAGTTCAGGCATAAAGATTTACGGCATCATTTCAAACAAGTTCCTTGACTCTAAAGAAAAATATGACACACACACACACACACACACATGCTACTGTTAAAGAATGGCATCTTATTCCATTCACGGCACAATTAGGGAAAATTATAACTGAAAATTCTGAGCAGCTCTAAGATGAGAAGCAATGAGTTTTCCTTGCTTCTCTACTGCACAAAGGAAGCATTGCAGATGAAACCAATGCTTTCATCTCAAGGAATCATCTTATGAAGGACCCTGCTTCAAAATTCAGGCTGAAGGAAAGCCCAAAGACCCAACATTAAATTATTGTAATCCTTTCTGGTATTAATCAACATTGTCTAGAGCTTTAATGAATATAGGGAATGGGTATGCTAATGCCTGTGATATTATTTTTCTAAGTGAGTTCTTTATTAGTTCTGTTGTTGACAACATTATGGAGGTTTGCCAAAAATAGCTGGCATTTTCCCTTCGCTTTAAACTCGGGCCAGCCATAGCCCCTCTTCTCAAGGTGAGTTTTGTACTGTCTCCAAGAGGAATCCCAGAGTAACCTCTTTATTGACAGCTCAAAACCATGGTTAAACCAAGAGCTTTTCAAATGAAAATTCAGAATTTACATGAGCATAATCAAGGCTCTGAGGAGGTTGGGCAGTTTGACTCTAACTGGTAACTTCCTTAACTTATCTATACAAGGAGTTTCTTTTAGACATCACCCCAATTAACAAACTGCAGAACATTCAAGAAAGGCAAGTCATTTGGGAAGTGCTAGTCTAAATGCTAGAAAGCATTTTTTTTGCTTGTTTCAAATATGGCAATAAATGAATTAAATTTGTTTGGAGGTCTGAGTTTGTTCTTGGCTGGAGATATCATTCTAGACAGTAAAATCACCCCCACTAAAGATTAACAGGTGCGCCTTGAATTTGTCAGGAGCAATGAAACACATAGAATCGGGGCCACAGCTTTGGTTTGGTACCTGGGGCTCCTGGTCATGACCGCTGGGGTCCCTCTCGTAGCTCTCTGCATACAGTCTGATAGTGGCCCGCACGCCACTGGAGGAACTGAGCCGGAAGATGAGCCGTGACATGTCCGAGAAAATGATCCTCACGCCCTGAGACCAAAAACATCCAGAATGGATGAGTAAACAAATGATTACAAAGGTAAAAGTAGTAATACCTACTTAGGAGACCAGTGTATTCCTATACAACACTTGGGATCGTAAGATGGCGAGGTTAAGCTATTGATAGAAGCTTCTTAAGCTTCTTCCATTTGTCTCTTAATTCTATTTCTATTGCCTTGTGGTTAAGATTGTGGGAGGGTTAGGAGAAAAACTAAGAACAGATGCTCAAATTCCCTTGATTCCTTGTTGTGGGAATCAAAAAGAGGTAAAGGAAATAAGGACTGAAGGCTACTTAAGGTCCCTGGTGTCAAAATTTGTCCCTTATACACCTACTGCATACAGTGGGGGTAAACTATCTATTGCAGTAAGAAAAAGTACCCATGTTAAGGCTCTCCCCAAGAGATGTTAGGTTTTGTTCTAAATTCATCTTCTCAGTGTTTCTTTCCTCCTTTCAAAATTCCTTTGGTGGCAATGGAACCCTACAGGGAAGTGCTCAGGCTTGGAACCTCAGCTGGGCTCTTAGATGCCTGCATACATCCTCATTCTTTTGCCTCTCTCCTTCCTCCTTACTTGTAAGATTTGGCCACCAGGGTGGGCTCGTCACCAGAGCTGTGGCTGCACCACAGTGCTGCTGAATATTAAATTGTTTTTGGCTCAGATAGTGTCTACTCTTTATATATCTTTTCTCATGAGTGGCAGGGAAAGTTTAAAAATATGACTGGAAGATCATATTGTGACTGTTGTTAAAGGAAATTTTGTTTTCCTAAGACAACTGATAAAGCCATTGTTATAAACAAGAATATTCTCAGGGGCCAAAGGAAACAGGAGGGGAAAAATACTATGTCTGGTCATTTGTTACTTCTGAAAATTTAGAAGTCTCAGACAACTTAGATATCAGAATTTTCCTTAAGAAATGTGTTCTGGGGGCCTCCCCAGTGGCGCAGCGGTTGAGCGCTGGGTTGCGAAGCTGCCCGCAGCCTCTGCAGCGCCGGTTCGATCCCCGGCTGCTCCCCGGCCACCGGAGGAGGGTCCAACATGGCGCGCAGACCTCTCCTGCCGCCCACTGCTCCCCTCAGCAGTGTACTTCGGTCCTTCTGCCTGCTCTGCTCCCCACTCTGGTTCTGGTGAATTCTCTCACCCTCCCGCGCTTCTGACTGTACCCAGTACTTGTATAAATAAATAAATATATCTTTAAAAAAAAGATTAAAAAAAAAAAAGAAATGTGTTCTGGACGCTCTCAGTTCTCAAAACAGATACCCTAATGAAGAGGGGAAAAATTTTGCATATCAGTTCTCAAAACAGATACCCTAACGAAGAGGAGAAAAATTTTGCACATCATACATCCAACAAGATGCTAATATTCAAAATCTACCAAGAAATCATACAACTCAACAAAAAGAAAACAAATACCTAGTCAGAATACAGGCAAAAGAACTAAGTAGACACTTCTCCAAAGTAGATGTACTGATGGCCAACGGGGACTTGAAAAAATGCTCACCATCACTTCTTCTCAGGGAAATGCAAATCAAAAGCACAATGAGATACCAACTCACACCTGAGAATAGCCCATATCAAAAAGACAAGAAACAACAAGTGCTGGTAAGGATAAGGAGGAAAAACAACACTTTTACACTGTTGGTGTGAATTGAGACTGATCCAGCCTCTACGGAAAACAGTATGGAGATTTGTCAAAATTTTAGAACTAGATCTATACAACCCATCATTTTGGCTCCTAAATATCTCTCTGAAGAATGCAGAACACTAATTAAAAAAGGACACATCTCTCCTTTTTTCATTGCAGCACTACTCATAATAGCCACATTATGGAATCTACCTAAGCGCCTAAGGGCTGAATGAGTTAAGAAGATCTGATATATATTCATAATGGAACATGACTTACCTATAAAAAAGGATGAAAGCCTGCATTTGCAACAACATGGATGTAACTGGAGGGGATTATACTAAGCAAAATAAATCTGAAGCATAAAGACAAATATAGGATGATTTCACTTGTGTGGAATATAAAAAAACAAAACAAAGGGACAGACAAAACAAACCCAAACCAACCCTTGAGATCTTACAGCAGAACTGAAGCTACCAAAAGGGGAATTTGTGGGAGCAAAAGGGAGATGGGAGCTCAGTGGACTATAATTAGATTATTGGTGCTTTGGTGGAAGTGGTGGTGTGGGAACATGCATTTATAAAGGTGTGAATCTAAACCCCTGAAATAGTCTTGTAAATCAATATTACCTAAATAAACATAATTTTAAAGTGGGAAAAAATAAAATGAGGATGATAATATCTATGTGAAAAAAAAGAAACTTCTCTGGACCTAAGACCTGCTTGATAAGCCATTATTAAAAATATATCATACCTGTTATATAAACCTGAATGTCAGTTTCTTACCCCACTGATATCTGGTAATATCTTTTAGGGCACTATGAGTCCTTCTAGGTGGCTTTCTGCCTTTTATATGTTGTAGACATATTTTATTCTAATTCCAAAACAAAAGTCTGAGTCTCTTTTGGAGTGGTTCAATACTACCACAATTTGTGTAACAAAAACAGGCTATTACCCTCCTGGCAACCTACTGCTCCATGGTGCTAACTATGCAAACAGGATGATATCATCCAGGATTCATTCATGGGACAAACAATTTAGAGCAGCCTTTATGGAACCAGACTGAGTGAAGCCCTGGGTCTATGGAGTTAATGGGCCAGTACTTGGTCTCCTTAAGCCTGGACTAATTAATGTAATTGTATCACAATGAACTGCAACCATTTTCTCAATCACCTTGTGCTGCTAGAGAAGTGAGTTATAAAATTCCAAATAGAGTAAATAGAGCATTTCCTTACTATCTCTATAGAAAAGACCTCACAGCAAAGTTATGTTCAAAGTGACAATGAAGCCCCAAAAGATCCACAATTACACTCACATTTTTACAAATTCTTTTGAAGTTTTATTTCTGCTTGAGCCTGTTTCCATTATTACTATACAGACACACACAAATACATAAGTCATTGCTCAGCACCAAGGGTTGTCTACACATTGGTTAAAGCCATAGCTAAGCCTGAAGCCCTAAACCACCTGTTGTTGCAAATTCCAAATGACTTAAGGCCACCCCTTGTGATGATCTTTCAGACTCAATCCTTTTAGGCAGCAACTATTACACAATTAACATCCCAGATTAGTTTATGGCCAGTGGAAGATATTAAGGATTCAGCCTCATCATGTGTTATCTACTAATAATGAAGACTTTTAACAGTGAGAGTGTGTGTGTGTGTGTGTGTGTGTGTGTGTGTTTTTCCTGGGGGTAGCCATATTTTAGCTGTACTCATAGAAGATTGGTTAGAATCCACATCTGGTAGCCTGGAATAGATTTTGTACTTGAAAAGATGACAAAGGAGTGAATAGTATACATCAGCCTACTGGAAATAATCCAACATTTCTCTTTTTGCCTCAGGAACTGATCATGAGATTGCAGTAGAGAATCCAAGTTGCTTTGTGCGAGCTCCATCTGAGGAACCACACACAATTCTCCTTCTCCACAGGGAGCTACAAATTTTAGACCCAGACGTTCTGTGCTACAACAACCCTAAGTCCAATGTCACTTTGTGTGAACAGTTGTTTTGGATAGCTTTGGGGTTTGTGCGTTCTTCCAATGAATTTAAGAATTTGCAACGAGGGGGCTTCCCTGCTGGCACAAGGGGTTGACTCTTAGCACTATGAAGCTGTCCACAGCCATTACAGCAAGAATTCGATCCCTGGCCAGGGAGCTAACCCCCATGGTGCAGCAGACCTCTCCTGTCTGACCTACTGCTCCCCTCAGCAGTGTATTTCAGCCAGTCCTTCTATTCTGTTCCCCACGCTGTCTCTGATGAATCCTCTTACACTCACCCTGCCCAACACACACCTCTGGCCTACACCCCAGCTCTTATACATATAAATAAAATAAATCTTTAACAACAACAACAACAACAAAAAGAATTTGCAATCTGAACATGTGCCGTGTTCTCTATGGCATGCACCATCACCTACTAGCCATTAAATTATAAGGCCAGCTAGAAATGGCGGCCTCTGCAGTGGGAGGTACCATGGCCCAGTATGGGCCGGCACGTTGCTTTTGTCAGAAAAATTCCCTAGACCGCTAACTCAGTTGAGCTGAGAGAACACTTTGCACAGTTTGGATATGTATGAAAGTGCTCTCTACCTTTTGACAAAGAGACTGGCTTTCACAGAGGTATGGGTTGGATTCAGTTTTCTTCAGAAAAAGAACTTCATAATAGACTACAACAGGAAAATCATGTTATTGATGGAGGAAGGCTCCATGTTCAAGCTCAAAGACCAAAAGTTTTGCAAGGGGAATCAAACATCTGAAGAAGAGGAATGATTGTTGAGACTATTAATTGCTGATGAAATAAAATAAACAAAATAGAAAAAAATTATGAGGCCAGAGTCACCACCAAGCAAGACTTGCCAAGTTTCTAAACATTTCATAATTACAACAAAAGAATAACAATAGTATACTTTGCTTTCCTTTTTTCTTCTTTGGGTTAAACCAGGGTTGACAGCATATAGTTTGCTGGCCAAATCTGACCTACCCCCATCTTTATAAATCACATTTAATTGGAACATAGCCATGCCCCTGCACTTCTATATTGGCCATGGCCACATTTGTGCTCCAACTGTAGAGATGAATGGGGGGCTCATGAGGCTTAACATACTATTTGGTCCTTTCTAGAAAATGTTTACTGCACCCCTGGTATAAAATATTACCTGATCCTACCTCAGAAAATAGGAAATATATCCATATGAAGATGCCAGTGAGAAAAATTATGTTTCTTAAGAATTTTGTAAGGATGTCTAACCCACCTATTTCCCAGGTATTCCAACTTCCAGTCATAGATTCATATAGACATATATTTGGTCAAAGTCAACTTACCTGTGACCACCTACCCCTGTCAGAAATGAATTTATTAAATTTCTTTTAG